TGGAGAGAGACGGGCAGATGTGGAGTCACAGTCCCTCAAGGAGCACCTCCTGGGAACCAGGGCCAGGCCGGAGAACCACACTCCCTGGAATCACCGCCGGCTCCAGGAGGCAGGTCAGCGGCGGCACAGGCGCCAGGCGTAGGAGGGCTCCCCCCCACACCAATTCAACCTCCACAGCCCCTGGCAGGTCCTCCCTGAGCAAGGGGCCCGTGCCTTGTCCTGCTCTCCTGCAGACCCTGGAGAAGGGCCCCCTCGTGCTGGGCAGAGGGATGACGGGGACCTGAACTRTGCTGCAGCCTCCTCTTCCTGCCAAGCCCTCCCCCAGGAGAGACCCTTCACCAGGCCCACCCCTGGGGTTCCATCAGAGCTGACCGACCAGGGATGCCCACTCCAGTTCCCTCCAGCCTGCCATGCTGGGGGTCGGGGGAGGCCCAGCCCATTCTCCTCTATTGCGCTGGTCTCCCCCAAGCAGAAAACAAAACAGAATCGAGGAGCTCCCAGCCTGGAGCTAAGTGAGATGTAACCTAAGGCACTGAGATGTCACCAAAGGACCGGAGCACCTCCTGTCCCCACATGCCTAACCCCCACGTCCGGGGCCCCACGCCACGACTCGACCCAGCCACCACGTCCAGGGGCCCACGCCATGCCACGACTGACCACTGCGTCCGGGGCCCCACACCACGCCATGCCACAACCTGGCCACCATGTCTGGGGGCCCACGCCACGCCATGACTGACCACTGCGTCCGGAGCCCCACACCACGCCATGCCACAACCCGGCCACCACGTCCGGGGGCCCACACCATGCCACGACTGACCACTGCGTCCGGGGCCCCACACCACGCCATGCCACAACCTGGCCACCATGTCTGGGGGCCCACGCCATGCCACGACTGACCACTGCGTCCGGAGCCCCACACCACGCCATGCCACAACCTGGCCACCATGTCTGGGGGCCCCACGCCACGATACAGTTAGGAGCCTCAAGGTTCCGGCGGTATTAAAGACACCCCTAGGGAAGCCTGGACACAACGGGAATCCGACACAGGTGCTCCAGAGAAGCATTACTCTCTGACACCACAGCTGCAGTCAACCCGCCTGGCCCCTCGCCAGGAAAAGGTGAAACGTCCACCAAAGGCCTCTTTGCCTCATTTACCTTTCCCCAGAACATCACGTCTGCCTTTCAACAAAAAATTACAAGGCACACAGTCTGCAGAAACAGCAAGCACGAGAGCCGGACACGGATATGCCGAGATGCTGGAGCTCTCTCTACAGGACATGGCGAGTCACAGAGACCACCACGAACAGGCAGGGGAACTCGGAAGAATCCAAAGCAAATGCTAGAAATCAAAACACTGTAGTGGAAATGGATGCCTTCAGTGGGCACAGCAGCCTGGACACAGCCGAATAAACGTCCTGAAGAAACGTCCATAGAAACTTCTGGAACCCAAGTGCAGAGAGGAAAAAAATGAAGATGACAGAAGGGAACACCCAAGAACACCCAACAGAGAGAATACCAGAGAGAATAAGAAAAAGGGACCTGAATGTTTGCGCAATGACAAGTGGCAGTCTTGGGAAACTCAGATACAGAGTCAGACAAGAGCAAGCAGGTCATAGTGAAGGCTGTGACGGGCACCTCCTGTCCAGCCTCAGAAAGCCAAAGGCAAGAGAAAATCCTAAATGGAAAAACTCCTTGCCGTGGAGTAAGGGTGAGAATCACACCCGACTTCTCTTCAGGTGCTACGCAAGCAAGAAGAGAGAGAAGTCTAATTTTTAATTTGTTGAAGAAAAAAAAACTAAAGTGATAGTCACTAGTTGTAAAGAAATAGAGACTTCCTCAAGCAAAAATTGAGAGAATTCATCACCAGCAGATCTGCCTTGGAAGAAGTGTTTAGAAGAAGTTTTCAAAAAGAATGAAAATTATGTAGGTCAGAAATTCAAATCTACATAAGGAGGGGCTGGGGCTGGGGCTCGGTGGCAGAGCGCTTGCCTAGCACACGTGACGCCCTGGGTTCCATCCCCAGCGCCACATAAGAACAAATAGATAAAGGTATTGGGTCCATCTATGACTAAAAGTGTTCTTTAAAAATCTACAGAAAGAAGAGTAGAAAAGTATAAAATAAAGGTAAAATAAAATCCTTTTTCTTCTCTTTCACTGATCTAGCAGATGAAAGCTTATTTCACATAATAATCACAGGTTTCTATGATGACGGTAGATGCACGGACTCAGTGGAGGTGTGTCACAGGGACAAGGAGAAGCACTGCGAGCTGTGCACACGTCTGACTGCCTGAGCAGTGGTGCAGCACTCCCGAGAGAGGACTTGGTCCAGCTGTCCACGAGTTGTCCCCCTGGTGGGAGAACAAGTGACCCCCACTTGGCCCAGGCCCTAAACACCTGGCCAGGAAGTTGCCTCAGAGCAGAACTACCTCCCCACCCCATTCCCTACCCCTGCCTGGGAGAGGCGCAGAACCAGGGCCAGGTTTAGGGCTCTGCCTCGACAGCTGCAGACAACCCTCAGCCTCGGAGGCTCACCTGCCCTCTCCAGCCCAGGACAAGGAGCACTGGAGGGTGAGCCCCACCTGCGCAGGATGGGGAGGGGCCCGGGGTGTGGCACTGTGATCTCCTCTCAGGCCAGCAGGTGGCAGCATCACACCGAAAACCTGCCTCTCCAGAAAGTGCTTTCAATGCATCAGGACCCTGCAGGGTCCACCCTGGCCCAGCAGGTGGCTTTCCCCAAAGCCCTTTGGTGGCCCACCCCTGCCTACAGTCCTTCAGAACAGGTAGATGCTAGTGCAAGTTCTTGACTGGCCCCAAGCCCCACTCCTAAAGCTCATGGAGGGAGCTTCTGACTTTGATGTGATTTCTCCCCGGTTGTCACATGCTGGCTCTGGGTGAAGGTCAACCCCTGCCTGAGGCATTGACGCCTGTGCATTCCCAAACCTACCTTAACCCTCAGAGCCCTCGTCAATGCCAGCTCTGCACCTCCTGGCCTCAGGTGCCCTCAGGGCCACAACCCACCATCAGTGCAACTCATCCCCGCCCACAGCCCTGAGTCCTGGGCCCCCTGGGGGCAGGTGTACCCCCTTGCTGAGCCTGTCGGCCCTGGGAACCAAGGAAGCCCCACGGCCCCACATGCCCTGCTCACCACAGCCTTGGCTGAAGCAGTGCCATCCTGGAGGGGACCTGCAGGAAGAGCTCCCCCCAAGATGCATGACAGCCAGAGTGGTCCGGGAAAAGACAGGGCTCTCACAAGGGCACCTCACACCTGGGGACAGGATGTGCTGCTGGCAGATGCCAGCCCTCCAGAACACAGTCAGCTGGACAGGAAAGCCAGCAGGGTGGACGGAGCTGGACCCTGCTGCTCCTCTCCGCTTCCCCCCAGGATCACTTACATGTTGTGTTTTGTCTTCTTGAGATGACCACCCAGCATGGGGTCCAGGGAGGGGCCTGTTGTGGATAGAAAGAGCATACAGCTCCCACCCACTCACTCCTCAGATGTGATGCCTTCCCAAAGCACTCAGTTGGGTCATCTCTGTTGTCCCTCTCCTGGTGGAAGTTGGAGAACAGAGATCAGCAACTCTGCCAAGCTCACTCCTGAGTGGTTCCACATCTTGCTGGAAGCCAGGGCGACCCAGTCACTGGGCTAGGAGCAGCCATTCCTCACTAACTCCACCCAGTCTCTAGGCAGTTCCCACGTGGGAGAAAGACTRGCATCTGCCAGCAGGGGTGGATGCATGCACCCAGCTCCACATGCCCTCCTGATAGGAGAGGGAGCACCCAGCTCTCCCACCCTCTCTCTGGCCGGCATTGGCCCCACCTCCACTCCCTGGGGGAAGACTTCTTGTCACCTGAGGGAAGCTGTGTCCAGTGACCCATTGAGCCCAGACCCATTCCTAGCTCATAAGAGAAATCTCAGGATTGGGTATGGTGAGCTCAGCGGCCACCCCTGCAGGTGTCTGGACAGCACCTTTGGTGAAGCCACCTGCAGTGACCCAAAGACTTCTTGGCTGGGACAGAGGATCCCCCATATACACCCAGCCTATGGTCAGCTCCAAGAGTGACAAGCAGGATCCCAGGTGACAGGCCCCAGCTCCCTTTGTTCTGCTCCCCAGTTCCACCATCGACCCTCCACCCACCCAGCAGAGAGAAAATTCCCCTGCGGGCAGGACAAAGTGTGGGGAAATGTTTCACACAAAACACCAAATAACTACAAGCAGGGGCTTCTCCTAAGCCAGGGTGTTATCCTGCTTCAAATCACTACTGGATGTTGGGGGACGTGGGAATCACCTCAGCAGGCACCTGGCACCTGTAGGGGACAGGGGGGCAGCTGCAGGTGGGGGAAAGGGCCCCTGCTCACAGATCGCTGACAGCCCAGAGGATTCAACCTGGCCACGGATCGCCCCGGAACGCGTTGCTCAGGCCCACCCGGGACTGCGAGCGAGACCCCCAGAGCGTAGGTCCACACAGCACGGGCAGCGGCTGGGCAGACGCTATGCCCACGGTGGTGCACAACGGTACCGCTCCGCTCGCTCCCGGGCTCCTGTGAGCGAGGACAGGGAACAAGACGGAAGAACTAAGAGGGTGTCCACGCGGAACGCAAGCGTCTGGAGGCGGCCAAACCCGGGACACCAGGAGGCCGCGGTCCGGGTCGCTGGGAGGCAGGTTAGTGCCCCCGGATTCTGCCTCCCTGGCCCGCCCTCCTGACCGTCTGAGCCGCCGGTGGAGCCGGGCTCCGAGAGAGGCAGTCACCAGGTCCCCTCTGATTGGACGGCTCGAAGTCCCAGCCGGCGCCTCCGCAGCTTAAAACCGAGGCGGGGGCGAGTGGGAGCCAGAGCCCGCCCCCGGRCCGGCCCGCGCGCCGCGGTGAGGAGGAGGAGGAGGAGGAAGCGGCGGCAGGGCGGAGGCGGGCCGGAGAGGCCGGGCKCGAAGGCTCTGGAGCAGACGGACCGCCGGAGGGGCTCACGAGGCCGGGAACTAGCGGCGGCCGGCTCCSGCGGGCGATGGCCGAGCTCAAGTCGCTGTCAGGGGACGCATACCTGGCGCTGAGCCAYGGGTACGCGGCGGCCGCAGGCCTCGCCTACGGGGCGGTGAGGGGCCCCGAGGCGGCCCGCGGCTACGGCGCGCCTGGTCCGGGCGGCGACCTCCCCGCGGTGCCCGCTCCCCGCGCCCCCGCCGCAGCGGCCGAGAGCAGCGGCGAGCAGAGTGGCGATGAGGACGACGCCTTCGAGCAGCGGCGGCGGCGGCGCGGGCCGGGGGTCGCGGCGGACGGGCGGCGGCGGCCCCGGGAGCAGCGCTCGCTGAGACTCAGCATCAACGCGCGCGAGCGGCGGCGCATGCACGACCTGAACGACGCTCTGGACGGGCTTCGCGCGGTCATCCCCTACGCGCACAGCCCGTCGGTGCGAAAGCTCTCCAAGATCGCCACGCTGCTGCTGGCCAAGAACTACATCCTCATGCAGGCGCAGGCCCTGGACGAGATGCGGCGCCTGGTGGCCTACCTCAAC